TTCACCCCTCCTGGTGCCTTCAGGGAATGTCCCACCACGTTCCTCCATGAGGGCAGGGGCACAGCTGCCATCTCCCCATGGGCTGCAGGGAAACTTCTGCTTGGGCACCTTCTTCCCCTTCTTCCTGACCAACCACCAGCACAGCTCTCCCTCTCCAGCACAGCTCTTGCCAATTAAGTGCTTCTCTGCTCAGGTGTTATGTTGAGTCTTTCGTATGTTAATCACTGAGGTGCATCTATTGTCCCTCTAGTGGCTCCTTGGCTGGGTTTGGAGCAGGGGGAGCTTCTCAGCTTCTTACTGGAGCGACCCTGGGGCCCTTTCCCCACTATCAAAAAACCCACCAAACCCAACTAGAACAATGTAACATCCAACGTTTATGCCCTTCTGAAAATACATGCTCAGATTTCAACAAATCACAAAACTAAGAGGCAGGAGGAGGCAGAAGCAGCTGGGTGACTGGGTAGAGGAGATTTTACCTAAAGATTAATTTATCCTGCCATTATCTGGATATGAACATAATCTTCCTTGCTGCTGAATCACAGGCTTGAGATAATCACAAATAATCTATGGGTTACGAAGTATGAAAGTCATCCCTAGGAAATGTCTTTGAAACATGGGCAACACCAGTGTGTTATTTATAGTGAAATTTCTAAAACCGGAGCTGTACAGAAACATGACCAATTGCATGGAAAAAATAAACCAAAGATGCTTTACTGCTGTCAGAGCATTAAGATGTTAAAAGTACCTAAAGGTTAATGCATTCAAGGATTAAAAATTAACCATGTGCACAGAGGAGAAGCAAAATTTGTACATACAATTCCAATAGCTGAGAACTAATTATAGGGCACATAAGCTTCATTGAAATATTTTCCACCCCTGTCAGCAAGTCCTAGAAAATAAAATGTTGCCTGTCAAAAAATTTCCAACAAGTTTTACGGGGTCAGAACAGATTTCTTGATTAGGGGCCAAGAAATTTAGCTGGCAAGACAGAACTGCTGTAAAATTAAATCAGTTTCTAATCTAATTTTACTAATTACACTGATGTGAACTCTTCTGCCAGCCCCTCGGGGCAGGGGTGCAGCTGTGCTGGTGCTGCAGGTGCTCTGTCACAGCTTGGCACTGCTGCCTCTCCAGGCTGTTGCCAAGATTGTCACACCTTCATTTCACAACATACTCTTTAAAACGACACCTTGTCCAGTATTTTTTCAGCCTGGAGAGTTCTGACAGTCTCAGACCAAGGAAGGGCATAACCAGGGGTGATGATGCCCTGAGGAGCAGGAGAAGCTGCAGCCGGGCAGTACCCACCAGGGACAGCTACAGGACCTGCCCTGGCAGCTGGTGGAAGCATCAACCAGCCAACAGCCATTTGGACAGCTGGTCCTGCAACACCCCTCTGGAAACATCCATATTCAGGTTGAAACGTCCTCCACAACTCCTCTTTCATTAGTTTATTGGAGCTGCTCTCCTTGAAGCTCTTGCCGCACCAGTTCTGCACCCCCAGCTGGCTTAGGGTGGTTGGCTCTGCGCTGCATCGGGGAACATTGCTAAGGCATTTGCAGGGGGTTCTCCACGCTCCGGGCGGGTGGGATGTGGCTGCTCAGAGCACCCCCAGATCCTCCCCGCACCCCCAGCCCTGGGGCTCCAGGCCCTGCCAATTCTGCCCAGCTGTACTGCAACCATTTGCAGCTTCACTCTGTGACACGTGCAGCTCGCTTTTCAAACACCCCAGATTTGTCCGCTTATCAGGCTGAGAATCTCACCATGTCTTTTTTCTCTGCTGTGCCCCCGTCCCCGGGATGGCAGCAAGGCCCCCGGCGGGCCCGTCCCCGCGCTGCCGTCAGGCCGCTCAGCAGCTAACCCCGATGTTGTTTTGCTTCCAGCTAAAAGCGTCTCAAAGCCCTTCTCAAGCCGTTTCTGCAGACCTGATGCTTCCAGGCTTGAGGCTGGGGGACTCGCTGTTTTGCTTAAGCCCCGGCTCCCCTGCAGCAGCCCCACTTGGTGCTGTATGGGGGCAGGCAGGCTGAGAGGGGAGAGGGGCTCTCCGGAGGGAGGAGGTACAACTTTAGATGTCTCCATAGTCTTTTCCTTTCAGGAAACACATCCTGTTAATGTTTGACCGCTGTGGCAGTGGCTCTGTTTGTTGCAGTCTGACTACGCCCTGAGGCTCACCAAAAACAGCCACAAAAACAGCCGTTTCCTCTTGGAGAGCTGGGGGGGCCTTTTCCTCGCAGCAGTGGCTGTTCCCCCGTCCCTGCACTTGCAGCTCGGATCTTCAGAGGGACACAGCGGAGCAAACTCCTCAAGATACTCCAAGCTTGCAGAGCCCCTCCAGTCCAGCTTGGCTTTGAGAGAATGCCACTTGTACCAGTTGGTGGGATACACTGAAGTTTGCAACTGAGAAAGAGGCTTTTGGAGCAGCCCAGGTTGAGTCAGAGGAGCCGGCGCTCTTGGCTCGCTTGACAAGCATCCCTGCCGCTGCACCCACAGCAGCTCAGGCTCTCCTGTCTGGAGACTGGATTCTTTTTGGATTCGCCTTGTCTCACAAGGAATGGACCTCCCTGTCCTTCAGTTCATTGCAGGACTGGCATTACTTATCAAAGTGCAAGAAGGTGGATAAGCCAAAACTGGGAAGGACCTGAAAAAGCTTCTTTGTGTTCTTATTTTATGGAATTCTCCTACCTACCTCACAAAAGTCTCATTTCCTTGATTAGAAATACCTCTGGAACTGACTTTGAGAATGAACGGTGATGTCCTCTAGCCCTTGGTAACATCACAGCGAGGCTGCCTCTGTTTCAAGTTCAAGTTCAATGTGCTGCAGCTGACTGAGACCTGCTGTCTTCTGCAAATAGAGACTGGCAGCAAGCGACAGTCAGATATGACTGTCCACAAACTGGTAGCCACAGCTGTGTTGGTAGCCCTGGTCTCACTTATTCTTAACAACGCAGCTGCCTTCACTCCCAACTGGGTCTACCAGACGCTGGAGGATGGGCGGAAGCGCAGCGTGGGGCTCTGGAAGATGTGTTGGCTGGCAGAGAAGAGCAGAGGAGGTGCAAGCACGAGTGCCAGGCATGGGCACGGGGAAGAGCGCGAGTGCGAAGCCCTGGGCTGGGGCTCAGAGGCAGCTGGGTTCCAGGAGTCACGCAGCACTGTCAAACGTAAGTTCCATCTCTTCTCTGCTTACACTAGGTTGCTAATTGATACAGTGTACCTGGTCCCCAGGATATTTATTGCCTCACAGAGCATCCTGAAGTAATTGTTAACCATCTGATTCTAAACATCTCTTAACATTCACCCCCAAATGAATTAATTTGGGAAACAAACAAACAAAAAGTTCACTAGTGAGGAACTAAACTCCTCCACCTCCCACCCCAAAAGCAGTAATCTACACTGTGCTGTCTGGTTTGCACACTGTATGGAACAATGTACTTGGGAAAAATCACCTCTGAAGTGTAAGTGTAAAGCTTGGAGACATCTGCTGCTCACTCCTCCTTCCTGGGTTCCTGCTGTGGGCAAATCCCTTCCTGCTCAATCTATTAAACTGCTACCACAGTTGCTCTGTATACCATAACATTAAAGCAAAGCAAAACAAAACCAAGCAACAAAACAACGAAATAGCCATGCCAAGTTCTTTCTCCTTTCTGTTTACTTGTCTTGGAGGTGCCAGGAGTGGACAAAGACAGATTTAGTTTTGGTAAAAACATGTAAAATAGAGATCGGCCTTAATGCATGTGACTATTCTTGGTGAAAAAACACAGTATACTGCTTGGGGAAGATGAAAACCATTAAGCCTGGTGTTTCTCATTTTGCAAATCCACAGACTGACAGGATCTGGAGAACATGTACAGATTAAACTGAGCTAGTTACATTTCTGAATAACATTAAACCTGTAAGCCAATGTTGAGGACCATAAAGCTGAAAAATAAAAAAGTGCATCTTGCCACATTCATCATGTTAATGGTAAGACTCTGTGCTTGTTAATAAACTGCATCCTTCAGGGGATGCAGATGAAATGTCTACCAAGTTCATGCCCTCAGAGACACGAGGACTTTGCAGAGATTTGAACAGGGCTCCAGACCAGCCCTGGTGCCTCTGAAGGGCAGCCATGTTAGTAACATCAGTGCTTTCAGACAGCTGGGTTTTTTCCCCCATAGTTTAAACTGTGGAGAAAGAGCAAAATGCTCTGCTCCTCCTCCTCAAAGTCTGTTATGTCCCTCAGGAGAGGAAAATAGAGAAATATTAGAGGAATTTCTTTTTTAAAAAATGCTTTAACATGGATGTATTCCATCCCATGTTTTCCAGCAAAATTATGCAGTAACATTTTTTGTACATTTGTTAATATTAAACCTGCATAAATCACAAACAGAAAAATTCTAAACTGTTATGAAGGCCTAACCCTAACTTTCAGTTCTTTTTTACCTGAAAGAACTTTGGTAATGACAAATAATTATAGAAAGGATTAGACTGCTAAAAAACTTCCTCGATGTGTATCTGTACTTTCATCACTGGAATCACGGCCCAAATCAATATTTATAAGCCATGTTCTATCTTGGCAAACATGCATTCATGAATTTAAAAGAACATGTTGTATATTCAATATACATGAATGAGCTCCTGCATATTGAATGTGGCTTCTGCAGCATTTTAAACACACCAACTTGTATTTCTTGCTGTGCACAGGTGGTGCTCTCAAGTCTGGCACAGATGGGTCAGTCACAGCAGACTTGTAGGGGCAGCAATGTCTTATGTCAAAGAGAAGCTAAATGTTATAGAAAATTTTAAAGTTTCAAAGTAATAAGTATAGCATGATCAAGTCCCCAGAAGAATTTCCTAACAAACACCCTTAAAAATGTAAACGAGGATTCTGAAGCCCAGTGACTCAATTTGTATAGGAATAAAGTATCCATTTGCTATTTAATCTGGGAGCAAATAGTAAGCAAAAGGCCAATTCTGAATCTTTATGAAGCATTTAAAAGAAAATCTCATTTGTGCAGCTGTGCCATGACAAACTAAGGAGGAAACAAATCCGTTGCACATATTTTTAAGACAAATTCATTTCTAGGGATCATACACATAGTCAATATGAGCCTGATTCTGCATTCAAGTTTTTGTAATTTTAAATAATTACTCTAGTAAGAAATGACATGTGATTTCAGTAATAAATACAGCAACCCTCATCCGTCAGTTGGAGGCAAATCCCAAACCTGTGTGTGTAGATGTACATTCACATATAGGAAAAACAAGTTTCTGAACAAAGAAACTCCTTCATAAATTTTAAGAGTTAATATGTAGTATTTTGGATGCCATAAATAGAATAAGTAGAAAATATGTTCTTCCAATAGTAATGAGAAAAGGGCCATAATCACACTCAGATTGAAAAAATCACATATATGTATACACACACACATAGAATCGGGGGCGAAAGATTGTTATCTCCCAGTTCAACAGAAAGACTGTAAAACCTTTGAGAATTTGCTTTTCCATATCCTGATGACTTCTGTACAAGTAACATGTAAAAACCAGCCAATTAAATGCACTACTCTAAGCAGGCTCCCTCACTGGCAGAGAAGCACACTTTTTAAAACAATTTGTCACTGACTTTCACTGCCCTCTCTTTCCCCCACTGAAATAACTGGGAAAGCTCCTTTTCAGGGGGCATAGCAAAGCTGGGCTGTTTCTTCTCTCCTCATGTACACAGCTCATGCAAAATTATTTGCTACAAGAATTATGGAAGTAGCTCATCGTGTCAGGACTTACGTGTGCTGAAACTAAAAATAAACTACAGCAAAATAAAACAAATAATAATAGAAGTTTTGCATATTTTGAGTAAAAGTAATAGTAAATGATCTGTCAAAAGATCACCAAGGGAATGAACAGAAAATCACTGTGATGGAGCACGTCTGCCAAAAGCCTCTCCAGAGACCCAAGTCAAATTCCATACCATGTACCTCTGTGACCCAGTTCCTCACTAACAGGACATCTGTGTGAATTATTTCATCCTAACACAAACCACTGGAGCAAGTTGTTTTGCATTCAAATCCTATGATGTAAACACTACACAGTGTCAGTGAAGAAGTGCTGATACAAATAACAAGTGACATAAAAGACCAGGGAGGTTTATTAATGCTGCAACAAAGAGACACACATGAGAAATAAAAATATTAGAAATAGGAAAGAACTAAGAAACCCAGGAATAGGATTAAATTATATTAAAATTATTATATGGAAATGAAGCCTCTTGATGTGAACTATTTCAACAAGGCACAACACCAGCAAGGAGGGTGGCTTTGTTCCCAGGGGAAAGCACCTCAACTCTGTTCTTCAGGCTCAGGCCTCACTGCTCCTGGCAGGGGGAGACCTCAGACCCTGCCTTTTGTCTTGATCCACTTATTCTTTCTTTCTCTCCTCACTGTGCAGTCCCGCACCCTTCTTTCTAAAAATCTTCTGTGAGGCAGTTCAAATGATTAACAGAAAGAAAATACCTGGGTTTGGAATGGAAGGGTTGCAGGGTGTGGGATGAGTTTTTTGTGTGGTTTCTTTGCTGTTGGAGTAAGCAGCAGTGTCAGGAGTCCATGCACAAGGGAGTGACACAAGTGTGATGTGGGTGAGGGAGCAAAAAAACCCCAAATACAAACTTAAAGGCCTCAGCAAGAACTCAGCACATCCCCTCTTCAAAACACCTGAATGAAGCCTAAGCAGGTTGCCTTGCTCTCCTGTCACAGGAGTGAGGGCAAAGAAATTTGCCAAAGCTTTTGGAGATGCAGTTTCAGAGATGTTGCAAAATTCTGGAAGATTATGCCCCTGCCTGTATCTCTTCACCCTTCAAAAACAGACCACATGTAGCAGAAGCTTACACTTAGGGAGATCTTGGGTAGGCCAGCATGTCTTGAGTACTCAACACTCATCTTTGTGCTCACTCCATCCACCATCTGGCACCAAGAGCTGAAGCTCCTAGCAGGAGCCAGAACACACAGCTCTACCACCAGGGATGCCCTCTCAGAGCAAACCAGACCTGCTCAAAGCCACCGGTACCTGTGCCCTGGCCCAGCACCAGGCCAGCAATGCTGTGATGTGCTACGGTTTTTGAATGCACCAGATTACTCAGAAACATCTCAGATATTTTTAACCACTCTGTGCAGTACAAACATGCCCTTAAGCCCTACTGTGCTACAAGGCTATCTGTGGGTGGACAGATGGACCTGATTTATTCATTAGCCAAGGTCACAGTCTGTCCCTTTTTGTCTAAAGAACACTACAAACAATGTGGGAAAGCAGGAATAGGGAGGGGTCTAAAAAGATATAAAAACCTTGCTCGTTTTTTGGGCTCCAGAAGATACAATGAAAATCCCAATGGTGGGCAGCTGTGGGCTGCCTAGAGCAGGAAAGCTCCTCAATTGCCCTTCTCCCAGGGACATATAACCAGTGCCACAGTATAGAGACTATGTGTTACTGCCCTAGGGACCAAACATAAACACCTGTCCAGCCTAATGTCGGATTGATGCCAGCACATGTAGACACTGAAACATGGTGGTTGAGGCAGGATGCTTCTCCGTGAGGGAACAAGGAGCGGGCATTTGCTGGCAGCAGCAACAGTTCACCAGAGTGCCCACGCCCTCTGCATTTACACAGATTTCCCATATCCACAAATTTCTCTGGAATTTGGCTGCATGGAGGCCAGGCTGGGCATCATGTAGATGTTACTTTTTCAATATACACGGGTCAAGAAAAGAGGCCTGTTTCAAATGGAGAAGACAGAACTACCATCACATTAGAAAAAAGACCAACCCTGTATTAAATACATGGTAGCCTGGTGAACTGCTCAGACTGCTGCACAGAGATGGAGGCAGTGAAGCCAGCTGACAACAGGGTGCTTCTTATTTCCCCTCCTAACAGCTGTAGCTTGCTTAATAGCTACACAAGTGAAATCACTAATTTAACAGTAGAGGCCAATGGAGGTGAACTGTAAATTTTCTGGCTCTTCCAAATAGTTAGTGCTAATTTTAATGTGGATTTTACTGTGTTATGCACTTATTTTGGAAAAGTTCAAAACTTTTCCAGATTCAGGATAGGAAAATGAACTTAATACATGTTTCAGTGCAGTACCTTCATATGCATCGCACAGAAATATTATCAGAGAAATCAATGTTTGATTACTCTC